GTCTCTGCCGCTTGCCAGCTACGCCTCGGCCGGCGCAGGGGGCGGAACCACACATGCGCGGCGCTGCCAGGCAGGGAAAGTCCTTGACTTACGACCGGTTGGGTAGTCCTCTACTAACGACCGGTTTAGTCCTTGACTTACGACCGGTTTAGTCCTCGACTTACGACCGGTTTAGTCCTCGACTTACGACCGGTTGGGGTCACGGCATTAAAAAGGTTGAGAACCACTGTCTTAGAGCATAGAATAGTATGGTTGTAAAGAACCTTGTTGGTCTTCTAGTCAAACTTCCTGCCCATAGCAGGAGATCTAACACAAGTCTGGACAAATGGCTATCTAATCTCTTCTTGAAAGCCTCCAATGATGAAGCAACTTCCCGAGGCAAGCTGTTCCATGGATTAATTGTTCTCACTATCAGGAAATGTTTCCTTAATTCTAGCCAGATCTCTTTTTAATAATCTTCCACCCATTACTTCTTGTTCTGCCCTGGAAAATAAATTAACTCTTCTCTGTGATAGCTCATCAACTCCTGGAAGACAATTATCATATCACCCCTAGTTCTTCTCTTGGTTAGATTAGGCATACCTAGTTCCTTCAATCATTCATCATATGGTTTAGCCTCCAGACCCCTTATCATCTTTGTTGGTCTTCTCTTTTGCCTTTTTTTTTTTTGTATATTCCAAGTGTGGTCTCACCAGTGCAGTATAAAGCAGTACTATGACTTCATTTATTCTTGAAACCTATCCCTCTGTTGATACAACCTAGTATTGCATTAGCCTTTTTGGCAGCTGCAGCAAATTGCTGGCTCATACTTACAGTAAGTAGTGGTCTATTAGGGCACCTAGATCTCTCTCACAGTTGCTATTATTGAGCCATCTACCACCTGTTGTATATCTGTACTTTTGGGTTTTGTTGCCTAAGTGTGGGACCTTACTTTTCTCATCACTGAATTGCATTTTGTTGGATAGGGTCCAGTGTTCAAGTCTGTCAGGTTCTTCTAAATCTTGAGTCTGTCATCTAAAGTGTGAGCTATTCTCCCCAGCTTGTGACAGCTGCAAATTTGATGAGTTCTCCTACTATCCCCTCATCTGAATTTTCCATGAAGATTTTGAAAAGTACTGGGCCAAAGACAGAATTTGAGGCATCCCACTAATTGCTTCCCTCCATGTAAATGTAGTTCCATTGAGGACTAACCCCCTGAGTGTGGTTGATTAGCCAGTTGCAAATCCACCTGGTGGTGATACTGTCTATCCCACATTGTTCTATCTTACCAAGAAGTTAGGTTGTGGTCTACTTTGCTAAATGCCTTATTGAAGTCTAAGTAACCTATGTTACTAACACTGAATGAGTTTCCTTCAATCCTTAGCGAAAGATGTTTTAAATACAAATCTAGTGTCAATTTTTCCAAATCAACAGGAAAAGGGGGATTGGGGGAAAGTTACAAATGGACTAAGGCTCCAGATAAATTTGAAATAAGATTTTGGAGCTAATTATAAAAACCCTTCCCATGGGAAAATATTTTTTTAATTCTATTTTTTTTATTTTGACTTAATTTGATAATACTAATACAGAATGAATTAAAATACTTTAACATTGGGTATAATGAAAGATCATTTTGAACAATGGACTTAGAAGTTAATTTTAAGAGTGTCTATTCCTATAAGTAATGTTTTAAAAATGCTATAAAAGAGAAATAAGTTTTACCTGACAAGACTGAGACTCACCTTAAAGTGATTTAAAAATGACATGTTACAAGAATGATATGGAAAAAGATGCTACGCTGGACACAAAAGAAATTGGCCGATGTCTTAATAGTTTAAAGGAATATACAAATAATAAGTCAAGAATGTGACCTGGATAATTTTCCCAAATTGGATTTACAAAAGAACTGTTAAAAGTTTTGAAAAATTTTATGAAAAGGGACAGAGAAAAAATGAAAATGTTTTGTGGGACATTATTTGAAGGGTTTAAAGATCAAGATTGTTAAGGAAGGAATATAAATATGGTTTAATTAATCATGGTTAAAATAGATAAATGTTGTTATCCTTGGTAACTCTTAATGTACTTTTGCTGATCTGGACTGAATATTAAGTCCGTAAGAGTTTGTTTATGGATAAGAGATGTGCTATGACAGAGGTCCTCAACCTTTTGGGCACCAGGGACCGGTTCTGTGGAGAGAGGTTTTTCCGTGGACCAGAGGGTGTTTGGTTTTGTGTGCTGCCTATATCTCGCGGATGGGGCTTTGCTTGTTTGTGCGGCCCAGTTGCTGGCATGCCGCGGCCTGGTACTGGTCCACGGTACCCCTGCACTATGAGAAGAAATCACTTGTATTTAAGAGAAAATGAATGGTTTATAATTGTTTTGATGAGGAGGACAATTACTTATTTATTATTTTCTTATTTTCTTTTCCATTTCTATTTCTGTTTCTCTTTTTCCTTTTTTCCCCTGCACCTTCTACTCTTTTTTCAGTTTGTATTAGTTTTTACAGTTTTAAATATAATCTTTAATAAAATTATTACAGGAAACCACCCCCACTCAATTTTTGGATAAATGTGAACAATAGACCATCATATGACATCTATCCAAATATTGACTTCAAAAGTGGGGAAAAAAGTTAAGTTCATGAAGTGAACAAATTACTTTCCTATAAGATTGATATTCCAAAAGGTTTGTTTAATTTGCAATGTTTGTAGAAGAACAAAAGAATGTTCTATAAATTCTTTAGGAATGCTTGCAATGAATTAAGATCAGAATGAGGAACTTCAATCCTTATTAAACTGTCGATATGTAACTGATACATATCAACCAAGAATAATCAGCAGCTGAATCACTCCATCAGAACAAAGTCCTGCTATAAAATATGCTGGAGTTGACTGCACATATAAATACCTGCATATCTAATACTTCTGTGCCATCCTTTCAGTCAACGAGGGTGAGGAAAGTAGTGCCAACAAAGATGGCAATCAGTCAAGACATTTTGGTGGTAATGATGCTACTACATGGAGTAATGGGAACCATGGTCAATCTCAACAATAATGGCTTTGAAGACATTGTTATTGCTATTAATCCAACGATACCTGAAGATGACAAAATTGTTACCAACATAAAGGTATGATAATTAGACATTTACGGATATATTAACTGTATAATACATTAAGAATTCTGCTAGCTATATAGTGGTAGAATCTATTTGTCTCTTGTAAATAATGAGGTAACTTCCAAGATGTGTGTGTGTTA